AAAACAGGTTTAATGAGAATGGTTTAGAAAGTGCTCAGCAGAAAACTGTCTGGAATGTGGTATCAGCTTGAGAAGTTTGGAGAATGAGATGAGCCCTTCTGGTGGCTGGAGGGTAGATAATTAGGGTGCCTGTGGGGATTTTTATCCCTCTGTTTGGGGTTCCTTGCCATGGAGAAAACATAGCATGCAATTAACAGGCCAGCCAGGGTTGTAACGTCTGCACATCTGACCCCCGGTGCTACCTCCCGGGCCTCCCTCGGGACAGCCCAAGGCGGCATGGGTGCGGCTGGTAGGATGCCTTAGCGCTTCCACCAACTGCTGCGTGGCCCAGGTTTCTTGCAGATGACTTTTCCAGCTCTGAATCTCTCCCTTCTAGGAGACATCGTTAGAACTTCCCACTTTGAACATGTGCAGAACATGCTGGGCTTCTGTGCATGTGCATGTGTGAATGCGTGGCCTCCTCGTCCCCTCTCTGTCATGGGCTGTGTCCTGGATGGCTGGGCTCCCTTGTCTCCCGCCCCAGCCCCTCCAGTCTTCTACCTGGTCGATGCCTGGCTGGCTGTTGCTGTACAGAGTGCGGGTCTCCACATGCTCAGGGACCAGCCCCTGGGTGTGCAGGAGGTACAGTGCAAGGCGTTCTTTCTTAGGTCCCAAATAATGAACAGGAGGGGGCATGGGCTCTAGATGGAAGGAGGTGGAAGGAGGCGATCACAGTGTCATTAGCCTTCCCATCTCCCAGGCAGGTGCCCTCCCCACCCCTCCCTCCAGCCTGGACAGTGGGCGTGGTTGCCCTGTATAGGAGGAAAGGGCAAAATGGGGCAGGTGCCGTCTGGTTTCAGAGGCCTGGATCTGTGTCTTCTGGCAGGTGCTGTACTTCTCACCAAAGCTTTGCAGTTTGAATTTTTTCCCATTGTAAAAAACAGTGTCCTCCTCAGGACTGAACAGAGGCGGAGGCAGCCCTTTCTGTTTGGCATGGCGTTCCAAGAGGAAGCTTGGGGTCATCTGATCCCGCCACCTAAAGGGCCCTGCGCTGTGGAATTAAGGGAGAGGAAAAGGTGAGAAGGTTTGTGTCCTAGAGAACATTCTGCTTTGAGCTGCAGGATGAGCAGTGGTGGGGGCATGAGTGGAGCCAGGTTTGGGCCCTGGTTCCCCAGCCCGGATGCAAGTCTCCCCCCAAGGGAGCTGGGGCCTCCCTCCTCCACCCCTCCCCTGCTCTCTTGCCCGGCCTCAGGTCCACTCACTAGCAGTAGGATTTGGAGAGCCCACAACGGGCTCCAAAGCCAGACAGGAGTCGGTTTTCGAGGTCAATGACTGTGGTTCCAATCTTATCATCAGGCGAGAACAGGTCAAAGTCATATAGCTGGATCTCTAGGTCCTTCTCCAGGGGGATGGTGCAGCTCAGTTCAAACATACTGGGGGGTGAGGGTGTTGGAGACTGCAGAGTCTGCGGACCATGCTATCTGCAGGCCTCCCTGTCCAGCTTCTCAGCCCCTCGTTTGGTCATGGTGAATATGGAGAACAGAGCCTGGGGTGGCTGCCACCTGCTAAGAACTATCCCCCAGGGTTGGCTAGAAATAACTTGGCAAGCCTGGCTTGTGGGACCCTGAACTCCTTTCCCAGGCGAAGTGTTTGAGAGGGAGGGTAGAACTGACCACCTTCCATCTGTCAAGCCCCGAGAGTGTGTGAGATCCCATGCTAGGAACTCAGAGGTTAGAAAGAAATGGAAGAAGTCTTCGCCTTTTGGACCTTACTCCTAGCACAGCGTGGGAGGGTGTGGTGAAGTGGGATTGGGTAAAGTTGGGGCAGCTCACATGCCGAAGATGGGATTCAGAGTGTTGGGCTGGTACTTGTCCCGGTTGCCCATCTTTGTCTGTCCCAGTTTCAGGATCACATAAGGGTCACACTGAGGTTCAGTCATAGTGAGGGAGAGGTGACAGGAAATGGAGAGTCAGTCCAGATTGGTTGGGGAGGATGGGGGAGGGGCAGAAATGAGCCCCTGGCAGCAGAGGGAGCCTGTGGGGAGGTGGCCATCTGGGTATCTGGCTGGGTATCCGTAGCCTGAGGGAGCTCCAGGACCCTGGGGTTTGACGTGAATTGTGGGAAGCACCTGGGCTGGGCGGGCCCGGAGACGATGAACACCACGGGGTTGGGGCTGCTCATTACCAGGCCATTGGAATCTTGGGGCTGCAGGTTGATGGCTCGGACCATGTACACGCGCACCAAGCACTCCTGGGGGAAGTCCTCTTTCTCGCGCCAAACCAAGAACTGGCGGGGGGGCTTGGGGGCTTTTGGATCCTCAGGAAAGGGGTAGACGCGGAAAAGGCCCTGTGTGTGTGTTGGGGAGGGAAGATGTTGGCAGCGCAGGCCCAGCCCTGCAGGAGGTGCCCCTGGCCCAAGTTCAGGAGAGAGTGGCCTGCACTGAGGATGGGAGAGAGGGGTGCAGCAGAGATGCTCTGTGGGGACAGCAGGTTTAGGAGGGATGTTGGGCAAACAACTGCGGTGGTTAGGTGAGTTTCCAGTTTCTGCTGA